GTCGTCCCCTTTTCCTCCTGCCTTCACACTTTCCCAACATCAGCGTCTTTTCCAGGGAGTCTTCTCTTCTCAGATAGGATACTAGTTACCTAATCACCACTAAGATTGGCCAAAGAAACTCTTTGAACTTATGCTCTAACTCTAAGCAGAAAGGCAGAATGAGAGGTCACCCCACCCGCCGGGAACTGCTGCTCTCTGCCAGGAGTGTTTGCACTCATTGAAACAGGAATGCAGCTAACGACCTTCGGCAGGGGCTTCCCGCACAGGTATTCAGCCTTAATGAGAGCCATTCATGGAACAGCATGTCCCATGAGGCCTTACAGTTCCATGAGAACTGTCTTGCGATCAAAATCATGCTGCATCAGTTATGCCCATGTGACAAAGATGAGATCACCAGCAGAGGAGATTTCCAGTAACTGAAGAGTTCCTGCTTCAGTCCCAGGGTTCACATGACTAGGCACAATGAGCCTGAAGCACATGTCATGCAAGCCCTGGGATAGAAGCAGGAACTCTTTAATTCACAGCAATCTGCTGCCGCCAATGACATCATCTTCCTTATGCTTACATAATTTACACAACAGGATTTTGGCCTGTGTGTAAATAAATTGCCACATACTGATTCTTTGATGTGGCTGTTTCCCCATTCTCCACTGGAAGTCATTTTGAATGGACTAAAGAAGCAGCAGAGTGGAAGCATAATCAAGAATGCTTCCATGTTATAGCCCTTCTATGGTGCAGAAACATTGCTTTTCTACAATTAGCTAAAAGCTAAACTGAAAAAGAATTTCCACCCAAGACTTTAATATTATATAATTCAGTAATGCCATTCCTCATAGCTGTTTTTTATTATCTTTACTTACATGGAAATCTAATTCAACTAAAGTCTTTTCCATCAATGGCTCTAGGCCTTTCTGCTAATTCCTACTCTGTGCAACTGGAAGATTAGTAATGACATTGTTTCTTTGACTTCTATTACTCGCAAGAAGGTATGCTTTACGTTACTGGAGGGGCAGAGCATAACTTTTTCTTTTATCTTCTTTTTCAAAAATGAAAAGAAATCAAGAAATATAAAAGAAACAAATAGGCCTTCCCTCCAGTCAACTCTTGATTTTCTTATTATTATTTTTCTTCTTATTTTTTTCTATTTATATTATAGTTGTTTTGTATTATTTCTGCATTTGCTGTGTTTATTGTTTAAATTTTATGTTGGAAGCCGCCTAGAGTGATCCATTGGTCCAGATAGGCAGGGTACAAATCAAATCAAATCAAAAAATCAAAAAATCAAAAAATCAAAAAATCAATAACAATAACAATAACAATAACAATAACAATAACAATAACAACAACAACAACAACAACAACAACAATAATAATAATA